TGGGGGTCGGGGGTACTCTGCATGAGGGATGGGGGTACTCTGTATGGGGGATGGGGGTCGGGGGTACTCTGTATGAGAGATGGGGGTCGGGGGCACTCTGCATGGGGGTCAGGGGTACTCTGTATGGGGACTGGTGTACTCTGTATGGGGGGCAGGGGTACTCTGCATGGGGGATGGGGGTCGGGGGTACTCTGCATGGGGGTCGGGGGTAAGTTTTATGGGGGATGGGGGTACTCTGTATGGGGGGTCAGGGGTACTCTGTATGAGAGATGGGGGTCGGGGCACTCTGCATGGGGGTCAGGGGTTGGGGATACTCTGTATGGGGGTCGGGGGTACGCTGTATGGGGGATGGGGGTACTCTGCATGGGGGACGGGGGTTGGGGGGACTCTGTTCGGGGGGCGGGGGGTACTCGGCATGGGGGACGGGGGTTGGGGTACTCTGTATGGGGGGCAGGGGTACTCTGTATGGGGGTCGGGGGTACTCTGCATGGGGCACTCAGGCAGCGGACGCCCTGTTGCAATCCCCGCTCCTCATGGCGTGGCTCGGCCTGTCTCCGTCTCCACAGCGACGTGACGTTCGTGGTGGGCAGGGAGAGGCAGGAGGTGTTCGCCCATCGCTGCATCCTCGCTTGCCGCTGCCAGGCCTTCCAGGGGATGTTCAGCCAGCCCCAGCCTGATGCCCAGGAGCCGTGGCCCCCCCAGGCCCCATTGGTCCTCAGCCACGTGCAGCCCGAGGTCTTCCTGGCCGTTCTCGAGTTCCTGTACACCAACAGCGTGACCCTCAACAGCTTCATGGTGAGTGCCGCGTGCTGCCCCGGGGCCGGGCGCCTTGGGAAGGGCAGGGGTGGGTCAGACGCAATGACAAGGGACCCCAAACCGGGCTGCAGGGAGGGCACGGCAGGATAATACATGGGGATGGCGCATGTCCCATCCCCCTCTAGCAGCTGGGCCACAGAGAGGATTACAGCCTACTACTGCTGCCCCCTAAGGGATCTAGTCCTTTAGCTCAAGTGGTAGAGGGCTGTGCCCAGTCCTGGGTTCAAGCCCAGCCCGTGCAGGGGAAGGTACATGTGCTGTGGCTTGTAGAGTGTAGTTAGACTCTGCAGTGCCGGATCCAGACAGCGCCACCGCCCGATTGGGGCTGCATCTGCCCCGCTCAGCTCCCCCAGCCTTGCCTGGCCGAGGGGAGAGGGGGCAGTCACTGGCCCAGGCCTGGTTAGCTTGGGGGCTGCAGGAAGAGGCCGGCGGGGGGTGGAGTGCTGGCTTGTCCCAGCCCCCGCTCTGCCAGCTTTGTAATCCTCGATACCCCTCAGAACGGGGGCTGTGGCGCCTACCGCGGGGTCAAGGGGAAAGGGTGGGGGGGAGGGGGGACGGCAGCGGGAGGGGGGACGGCATTGGAGGCTGCTTGCCTCAGGCTATTTTTAGAGCAGTGTCCTCCCCGGCCCCCCTCCATGCAGCACCGGAACAGGGTGCGAATTACCCGGCTCAGAGAACTCAGATAAACGCAGCCCAAGGAAACGGGAAACACCCCCGGGAAAACCCTGCCAGCCAGGGGCATCCCGGCCATTGCCCTGCTCAGGGGCGGAGTCACCCGGGGAATTCAGCCGGTTCTCTCCCACGCTCCTGGCTCAGACACTCCCCACCTCCTGGCCCCACACACTGACCTGCTGAGCCTTGGCCGGGGGCATCCCAGCCCCCCCGGCAGCCGTGGAGAGGCGCAGGTCAGCCCTGGCAATCACCTTATGTTCCTGCCGCGAAATGGATTTTAACCTCCCCGCCAGCCCCAACCCGAGAGCCCACGGTGCAGAGGAAGGGCCCCAGAACTCAGCGGGGAGCGTGGGCACAGCCAGGCCTTTCCCCAGCCCCCAACGGCCCTGCAAGGTGGAAGAATCAGGCTTCTCCGGAGGTCCCAGTCCCTTGCCCCACTCCCGTGGCAGAGCATGAGGCAAGTCCAAAGCCAGCTGCGGGGAGGGGAAGCGCCCTCAGTATTAACATCACTCGGCCATTCGCACGGCCATTCGCACGGTCATTGCACGGCCATCCTCATGTCGTCCCGTTCCCCCCCCCCCATCTCTCCCACCGCCCCTGGATCTAGGCAGCTGCAGGGCGGGCGGGGTGGCCTGGCAGCAGCCCCAGCAAAGCATCATGGTCCCCCCTCTGGCCGATGCAGCAGCGGCGCTGGGGGAGTTTGGGGGAGTCCCCTCTTAGCCACAGGGCAGAGGTGGTGACGCAGGGGCTGGAGGCTGTTGCAGCCCAGAGCCGGGTGTGACATCCCCAGGGTCCAAGCCAGACTAGTGAGTAGCTGTGTTCCCCTGCCCTCGAACCCGGGGTGCCCTTTACACGGCCGTGCTGCTGTCGCCTCCAGTGCTAGCCTGCTCACAAACAGCCGCCCACAGCCCCGTCGGGGTGTGAACTGCAGCTGGGGACACCCACACACCCTCGGTCTGGGAGTTCCCCCCAGAACCAAACGTCCTGCACGGGTCAGCCCGCCCCGGCCAATACCAATTCACAAAGGTCAGTGAGCTCAGCGAGGGACATAAAGCACAGACTCGGTTCCCGCCGACGGACTTTCCCAAACCCCTCCACACTGGATGAGATCGAACGAGCTGATTAACTCCGAAGAGGGAGATTTTACGTGAATACACAGCACGAGGCACAACAGTCAGAAGTGGCTGCAAGAGTGGCACCGATACACCGCAGCTCACGCCTGACGCCCCGACCCCGGTTACAGTCAAAGCCAGCTCTCTTGCCCCACCCCTCAGCAGCTTTCCAGGCAGGTCCCTGCCCCCGCCCAGCGCTGCTGCTTTTGTTCTTCAGGTGTCTGCACTGCCAGAGGCGGAGAGCATGGCAGGGGAACTCTGGGGCGTCTGCCCCCCGTTTTATAGCCCCCCCTCCCCCAGCTTTGAGAAGCAGCTCCAGCTGGGAGCGGGGCAACGGGAAGGCTGCGGGGCTGGGCACCCCAGGCTGTTTCTTTCCTAGGATGGAGATATTTTGCCCTGCCAATGAATGGGCACTTAGCAGGCGATGGCCCGTGTGACCTTGTCCACGCCTGGCTGAGGCGCCAGCTTGCCCTCTGACCGATCCCCAGGCTCGGAACATCAATGGCTATTAGCCAGGCTGGGCAGGGATGGTGTCCCTAGCCTCTGTTTGCCAGAAGCTGGGAATGGGCGACAGGGGATGGATCACTTGATGATTCCCTGTTCTGTTCATTCCCTCTGGGGCACCTGGCATTGGCCACTGTCGATAGACAGGAGACTGGGCTACATGGACCTTTGGTCTGACCCAGTACGGCCGTTCTTATGTTCTTAACAGGTGGAGTAACTCCAAGCTTATACATTCACACATAAGGTTGCCAGGTATTTTACCAGGACAGTAATGACCAGCAAATAGGAGTTTTATACTTTGTCCAAGGGGTGACGCCAGGGGTCAGGACTGTCACAAGGGGTCTGCTTGAAAGGCCAGGCTGTGTTCCCTTCCCTGCCGGGGGCTGGGCTCAAGGGTTGCTTCCCAGGGCGGCCTCCTCACGGCCCTCACTGCAGACAGCCAGTCGCGCTGAGCTGCCCTCTCGCCCCTCCGAGGCCCACGTGGCCTGGGGAAGACGGAGGAGAGACCTGGCCACACAGGCTGTCGTGGGACAGAAACTGTCTCTCTCTGCCCAGCTGGCGGCCAGTGCCCGTGGCTGTGTGGGCAAATGCCCGATCCTGTTCAGAACGGTCCAGCGTGGGGGGGGGCACCGAGCTGGGTTCTCATCCTGGCTCTGCCACTGACCAGTTGAGTCTGTTCCCCTCCTGCCTTGTGCTCTCTACTCTCATTGACTCATAGACTTTAAGGTCAGAAGGGACCATTATGATCATCTAGTCTGACCTTCTGCACAACGCAGGCCACAGAATCTCACCCACCCACTCCTGTAACAAACCCCTGACCTATGTCTGAGTCATTGAAGTCCTCAAATCATGGTTTAAAGACCTCACTGGGGCGGGGAGCGTCTCCCTCTCAGGATCTGTGCAGCACCCAGCCGGGGAAGGGGGACATCCCTGGGTGGAAAGAGGCACTTGCCTTTCATGCCCCAGATGTTCTGGAATTACTCCAATCCAGGGAGCCTGGACCAGCCTTTAGTGCTGTCACCTGGCTGTGTTCTCTGGGCCCCGCAGCTCTGTGGTCAGTGGATGGGAACGTGTGAAATGCTGCTCACCCAGGGTCTGGCTGAGCGTGGGAGACCCGGCATCTCGAATGCATCATGGACCGGCTGTAGTGGGCGTAGCTGCTGGGTTGGCTACGCTGCGTGGAAACCCAGCTGGCGTTCTACTGCGAATGGTATTTGAGGTTTCCTCTGAGGCAATCAAAAGCCAAGCAGTGGGCAAACGTGACCTGGTGAAGCCTCTCAGCACACCTGTGAGGCAGTGGGGAAACTGAGGCACGGAGAGGGTTGAGCTAGGAATCACACCGAAGAGCCCCAACTTGCATCCCCTGCTCTAGCCAGCAGGCCCCAATGCCAACGGCCAGTCTGCGGCCTTCTGGGCTAGGAGCACTCCTTGCTGGGGTCATGTTATCCTGCAGTGATCCCGGCAGGGAGACGGTGGTTCCCAGCCTGGGGTCTGCAGGACACTCGCTGGTGGTTGCAGAGAGCTGGCTGGTCACATGGGGCTGGGTCTTCCTCCTGGCTTCCAGCTGTTACTCACACTTGCAGAACTAAACATATGCCCACTCCTTTACCTTCCCCTGGAAGCAGCTGCTGTAGTCCCCTGTAGTCCCCTGTGACTGGGAGGGCGAGTGGCAGAGGCAGGGACAATCTCTCTGTTAGGGTTTGGTTCATTAATTAACCAGGAAAAGAGCAATCGTCAAACTAGTGGCAAGGATCACTGCGTTCCAAGGAGCCATCTGGCATGTGCATTTGCAGTTAACTTTAACTGGGGTGTAGCCCTTTCTCCAAGAAAGCCCTGGCTGCTTCTTGCATGCACCCGTGCTTGTTATGAGAGGCCCACGGTTAGGGACCCTGTCTAAGCTGGGGATCTCCGGCCAAGGGAAGAAATTATATCCGTCCATCCCTCACTGCAGCTGTCGGTATTCGCTGACTGGGTGAAATACCATTGCCAGGAGCAAAAGCAAAAGGCTCAACATTCAGTGACATTGGTAAGATCCTAGGCAGGAGGGATGGTTTGGTCTAGTATGTCCCAGCTAGTCTGTGCCTGGTCCGGCCCAGCCTGCTGCCCCGCCATGAGTTGCGTCGTGGTCTGGGGACCCAGCATCCTCACTCTGGTGCCGCATCGCACCATAAAGACACAGATGTCCAGCACTTCTCTGGCATGCGCAGAAGAAGGTGGCAGCCCAGCTCCAGGCAGCAGTGAGGAAATAACCCCACGGGGAGAGCGAACAGGAGGCTGGGGGTGTCACGCAGGAGGGGATGTCTCACCTCCTCTCTGACCCATTGTCCCTGCTACATAGGTCCCGCCCTTTGCACTTTTCAGGCTGGAGGGGATGGCGGGAAATTGCAAACCAGCTGGAGGCTGGATAACAGCCCTGCCAGGGCTCATGGGTTCCCAGCGGCCTGCCCCTTTCAGCCACTGACTCCATAGCTCCTCTCCTCGACTTCCGGCCCTTGTGCTGACCCCAGCTCTGAGCAGACCTCTCCTGACCCGTGCCCGGCATGCGTGTCCAGTGGGTCGCTAGGCAGCGGGAGTTGTGCACGTCAAGCCAATGACACAGGCTCCCGGCGTTACCCGCTGTGCCCAGCAATTCTGGGAGAGGGTGAGGCTGGGTTGCGTCCTGCTGCTGGGAAGTTAAGAATCAGGCTCTTCCAGTTTTCCTGGCGTTCCTGGGGCTTGTTGAGGCAACGCGGTGGCTTTCCCTCGGAGCACCTCTGACTCCGGCCCAGCTCCCTCCCACTTCCCATGCGGCTGCTCACTCCTGGAGCTGCGGGCTGGGGACTGTCAGGCTAGCAACGCCCAGCGATGCGGGGAGGATGGGATGGCTCCAGGGGCTGGGATCCATCCACCCTGGGTGGCCAGGTCCCCTTTGCTCTAGGCTGAGGGGAGAGCAGCCATCCTGCCTTGGGCGAATGGTAGCGTGGACTGGGCCCTCTAGATCACAGCTGGGTCACATGGACGGGGAGTTGTGCAAGGAGAGCACGAGCTGGTTCTGGGGCTGAGCAGAGGCCTCCCATCTCCAGGCCGACCCAGGAGAGCCTGAGGGTCAGATCTGTGCCGCCTGGCGCTTGGCAGCAGTTCTGCCAGCTGTGAGCGGGAACAGAGCCCCGAGCGTTGCTCAGACCCCGGGGTAGCGCCGCCCCCGGGCAAGGGGAGAATGTCTGTGCCGTCTGCTGCCCACAGCTTTGTGAAATGCCGAAGGGTCAGAATGGGCCCTGGTGCTTTGCTGCGTTGGCGGCTGAAGTCTGCGGTGGCTGGGCCACGTGCCTGCTTGGAGGAGGGCGTCGGGGGAGAGCCTACGGACGTGTGCGTCTCCTGGCACTTGTCAACACCTCAGCTCCCATGAGCAGGCCAGGCTGCTTCCAGCAGGTGCCAGCTTCCTTTGTAACATTTCCAAAGCCCCCTTGGTCTCTTTTCAAACACGTTTATCAGGTGGGGGCCCCCTGCTGGAGCCCCCAAGACACTCTGTCCCCCCAACCAGGGCCATGCATGGGGGGTGGAGGTGCGACCAGCTGAGAGCGGCTGGAGGGGATAGATGCAGAGAACAGACCCGAGGGCCCCGGCCCCGCCAGCCTGGCACCTGCGCTCTCTTGCTCACCGGTGTGTTTCTTCGCTCCGCAGGCCCTGGAGGTGCTCACCTCGGCTGTGGAGTACGGGCTGGACGACCTGAGGAAGGTAAGGCCCTCGCCTCGCGGCCTGAGCTGCCTCTTGTTAAATACACGGGTGCTGGGGGGACAGGACGGTCGGGTGAGGGGCGGTGATGTCCGGCGGGCCAGGGACTGCACGTTTAGCCCGGTGGGGGGAGGGAGCGAGTGGGTGTATTTCTGTAGGTCGACATAGGGCTGCTAACGTTAGGGGGGCACGTCACCCCAGCAATGCAGACTGGCACCAGCGGAGGGCTGGGCTGGTACCATGCCAGGGGGGACCCGGCAGGAGCGGGTGATTGTGTCCCTCGGTCGCAGGCTTGTTCTTACACCTCGGATTGTACAGCTCTAAAGGGAGCTGAGGGCAGGGGAATGGTACCAGTAGCTGCTTTCAGCAGGTCGCTGGAGACGGTTAAGGGTGCAGGGAGGTAATGTCTCGGGGCAGCAAACCAGGGCTGTTGGTTGCCAGCTGCTTCCGCCCTGCCGGCGATTGTCTGGAATCACTGCAGAGAAAGCAGCCAGGCCAGTGGGAACGGACGGCTCAGGAACTGGCCCTGTGGGTGCATTGCATTGCGGGAGTTTGTAGTCAAGGGCCAACGCTGCATGAGTAGACTTTGGGCGACTATTTCTGGGCAAACTGGGCAATGGGAGGCTCATTCTCTGTGCTCAGTCCAGCAAACGGAGCCAAGTTCCCCGACGGGATCTCAGCGGAGCCCGTCGGCGCCCCTGGGCAGCTCAGAAAGTGCAGAGGTTATGAAAAGTTACAGCAGAACCTCCGAGTTCCGGACACCTCTGGGATGGAGGTTGTTCATACCGCTGAACAAAACGTTCTGGTTCTTTCAAAAGTTCACCGCTGAACAATGACTTAATACAGCTTTGAAACCTTACTATGCAGAAGAAAAATGCTGCTTTGAACCATCGTAATTTAAATGAAACAAGCACAGAAACAGTTTCCTTAGCCTGTCCAATCTTTCTTTAAACTTGCCCTTTATTTTTGAAGTACTTTGCAGTTAACAAAGCACTGTTCTGTATTGGCTTTATTTATTCTTTTGTCTCTGCTGCTGCCTGATTGTGTATTTCCGATTCCAAATGAGGTATGTGGTTGACCTGTCAGTTCTACTGTATTTATTTGATGACAGAAGCACCTGGAGGCCCAAGCAGATCAGGGCCCTCTTGTGCTGGGCACCGTATTTATGCACAGTAACAGATGGTCACTCACCGGAAGAGTCTGTATTGATGAAGGAGGGATGATGATCCCTGTTTTACAGATGGGGAAACTGAGGCACGGAGGGATAATGACATGCCTGTCCTCCGCAGCAGAGCCAGGAGTTGAACCCAGCTCTCCTGACTGACCGTCCGGTGCCTCACCCACCGCACAATCCTGTGTGTCCAGAGCCGACGGGGTCACCACCTGCCAGCTGTGTAGATCCAGGGCCCTGGCTCGCCCTGTGCATGTATCTCAGAGCTCGGCTCTTCGGCACCCATCTTAGAGGGGGACAGATACCTGCTTGTTCTTCAGCCGTTTTCCTCCATTCCAGTGCGTGGATGCGGCCGGCTTTCCCTGGCCACGGTGTCACAGGACTATCGAGGTCCGAGGTGGGAAAACCCCATGAGGTCATCCACTCCAAGCCAGACGGCCCCGCACTTGGGCTACTTCCTTGCTTTCTAAGTAAGATCCTTACACTGCTGATGACTCAGACTCCTCCTAGCCACGTGCACTCGGGATGTGTCAGGGTCATTCCAGGCATGCTAGAGACACAACCCATAGTGACTTGGCTGAGTGCAGCAAAAGTGCCTTCACTCAGCCGGTCCTCTCCGCACGGGACCCGCCGACACCATGTAATGGCCAACTTCCTTACGACGCGCAGCCATGAGCTGCTCCAGTGTCCTTTCAGTGACACCGGCCTAGCTGTGGAGTGGCTCCGAATGGCCGATCCTGCACGAAGCAAGAGACTTCCCCTGCTCAGCTGTGACTGCGGCAGTGTGAGAGGATCCGAGACAGGCTGAGCCGTCCCTCTCAGAGCCGGGAGTGAAGTGAAGGCTCAGAAAACGGGCAGAGATACCAGGCTGGGGGCAGGGATTGGGAAGCCAGGGCTGTGCTTGTCTGAGCGAACTAGTGAAATCCTTCGGGTTAGGAGGAAGAGGTGGTGAGGAATGGAAAAACAAAAGGGAAGTAACAGGCAGACTCTCCTGCCCACTCCCAGGACTGGGGTGGGGGGTGGGGAGAGCGAAAACTTCCCAGGCCAGCTGCCAAGGGACTTGAGAGCATGGGACGTTGCAGTCATGGGGGGTTTTAACCACTGGCATCTCTCTGCTGGGTTACACACACAGACAAATATGCGCAATCAAAGAGATTCCTCAGTTAGGGTGGAATCGGCCTTATGATCCGGAGACTCACCCAGGGTTTCCCCTCTCTCTGTACTGTACTCCTCACAGACGCTAACGCGGATATGATAGTAGCCATGAACCACTTGAATTCCCGGTGAACGCAGCAAGAGAGCGTCGGGAGGACTCAAGGATCTAAGGGAGAAGGGAGGAAAGGGTCACTCCAGCCAGCGGGGAGTTCCAAGGGTCCGCACATCCCAGACTGGGAAAGAGGCGTGTGAGATACGGCTGACATGGGGTTCTCGGGGGACTGACTGCTCAAAACTGCGGTTTAAAACCCGGGTGGAAGAGGAGAAGGAAGCAAACCAGAACAGGCAGTTATAGTGCGGGGGAGGGGGTGCAGCCCAAAGGGAAGGACAGTCAAAGGGACTAAGAGAAACTAGCTCTTTATGAAGAGCAGGGAAAGGAATTCTGCGCCTTAGCACGGCCAGGTGACAGGCATCCTAGAGTGTTAGCTTCCAGACACTTGGGACAGCTGATAATTATTCCTAAAATAACACCCAGGTTTTATACAGCGCTTTTCATCTGTCGATCTCAAAGCGCGGTCTGAAGGAGGGCGGTATCGTTACTCCCATTTTACAGATGGGGAAACCGAGGCACAGAGCTGTCGGGGAAAATAGGGGCGGCCCTAGAAAATTGTCAACTAACACAGGTGACACTGATCTTCGACTGGGAAAGGAGGGTCCTCCAGGCAGTTACGCTTTGGGGGATGAAATTCAGTCCCCCAGTAAAATCATGGAACCGATCTTCGGCGGGAAATGGCGCCCAACTCCTACCGAACACAGCCAAGTGCTATAAGCAGCATGTGCTTACCCAGGTCAGAGCTCGTCAGGCAAAGCTGACTGCTTGATTGGCTGGGTGGACGCAAGGAGCGGACGCAGGGAAGGCCGGGTGTGACGTGCGCACTGGAATTTTAGCTCCGTGTTTGCAATCTCGCATGAAATGAATGCAAATGCGCTTTGGTCTGCACTGTTCCATGGACTGCAGACTGGATGTAGACACGGGCTGAGGATTCACTGCAAGGTATTTAATCGGGAAGGAAACGTCCAGGGGTAGCGCCGGTCGTCTGGTCTCACATTGAATATCTTCATTAATGACCTGGAAGAGGGGGGGAAACAGTGCAGCTGGTCCTAAACTGAGGCATTGTGAGGCCAGTTAATGATCGAGGAGCTAGAAATCTGAGCAGAAGCCACCCAGCTAGTAAATCTAAGGCAAAGTCATTCAAACCAGATATGCAGCGAGAAATCAGAGCAATGTCTGGAGGAGACCCAGGGCTGAAAATGGGCAGAAAGTTGCAGTCTCACATCGCATCAAAGCCCGTCCAGTCCCGTGGTGAGCTGAGCACACAATCAGCCGGTCACCGAGCGGGGAGGGAAGGCCCTGTTTGACTCTGCAATCGCCTGTGGGATTGCGTGGCCCCTTCTCGGTTATTTTGTTACCGGGACAATATTGACAAACTGGAGGGAGTTCAGAGAAGAGCCATAAAAAAGATCAAGGGCTGGGAGCGGTTTCTGAGGAATGCTTTAAAGAACTAACCTCATTTCTTTGGCTAAATGAGGACAAAGTCCTTGGCTCTGCTGAGTCTGTATTGAATTGGTTTAAGCACTGATGGCTCCGTGTATCCGCACTAGTCATGCCGTAGGCATTTTCCTAAGCCATTTCAGGTGCAATGCCTTCTGGGTACTTGTCACGGAGTGTGGGGGGACACAAGGCCCTGCACCCCCGGCTTCCTGCGATTCACCATGACTCTCAGCCAGCCAGTAAAGCAGAAGGTTTATTTAGACGACAGGAATACAGTCCAAGACAGGTCTTGCAGGCAGAGACAACAGGACCCCCCCAATTAGGTGCATCTTGGGGTCCCAGGGCACCACAGCCCCTTGGGAGGTCAGAGCCTCATCTGCCTCCCAGCCATGTCACCAGCCAGCTCTCAACTCCCTCCCCAGCCTTTGTTCAGTTTCCCGGGCAAAGGTGTCACCTGGCCTCTAACCCCTTCCTGGGTTCTCATGTTACATGCTCAGGTATTCTCCCTCGGTCAGTCTCCCATCCCCCCATTGCAGACCATCCTAGCCACACTCCCCTGTCAGCATTCAAAGCCCACAGTAAGAACAGTCCCAGTTCGTCACAGTGTGTCCGTGACTGGGGCTGGAGCTGTCACCTGTGAGGCACTGGCCACACGCACAGATACAACGTACACCCGGCACACGCAGCTAAAACACACACGGCACACAGCACTACAATGCACACACGGACACACACACACGGCACAGACCCACGCAATACAGTGCACACACGGGGACACACACAGCACAGACCCACAGCACTACAATGCACACACGGACACACGCACACAGCACAGACCCACAGCACTACAATGCACACACGGACACACACACACACAGCACAGACACACACACACACAGAAACGCACACACATGCCCTGCCTCGGACGGGATCTCAGCCTGTCCTGTTCCCCAGCCTCAGCAGGGTTTTGGGCCGTGCCGCTGCGGCAGCCGGACCCACCTGGCATTCAGTGGGGCCAGATCCTGGGTTCCTGTGAGGGTCGGTGCCAAGGGATTTACATGGTTTGTAGGGGCGCCAGCAGGGGGCGCCTCAGGGCCAGACTGGAGCATGGAGCTGCTCGCCCAGCCAGCCCAGGGCTTGGCCACCGCTGCGATCGGCTCCCTCAGCCCCACCGGCCCCTGGCACAGGCCAGCTCTGCCCCCCAGCCAGGGGGTCTCGGGGGATCCCCGTCCCCAGCAGCTCGGCTCAGTGGCCTGGGCTCCTTGGAGTGGCTCCCTGCCCAGCCCCTTG